ATACGCGAAACACCTGAAAAGGGCTTCTCCGCTCTTCGCTCGCTTAGACGTTGAAAGCGGCTATACGAAGACCAAACATATCCAATAAACGCAACCATGAGTAGCGGCAGCGTTTGACTAACAGCGAGTATCATGTCAGGGAATAATTAAATGCGAGACGAGAAACTAGAGCATCAGGTAGACTTAGGGGTTACTTTGCCCTTCCCTTACACGTTGTAATAATCTCTCCAAGATTCGTAAACGCGGTGCGTTTGAAAGGAATGAAAAGGCAGCCGCGCCTTTGCGCGCCATATTGCGGATTCGCGCGACTGTAGCGAGCACGATTCTCCACCGAGAATGGGGGGCAAGTGAGAAGAGGAACGGGGAAGATCAACCCTTTTTGCCCTTTAATCCGCGAGACTATCCCATCTGCCCGGGTAAATTCTCCGTCTGTCAACTGGAAACTGGAAACCGGAAACTCGAAAAACGGTTTTTCCCTTGATTTCATCTGCTTTGCGGAGGAGATGATGCGATTTGTATCTTCCGACTCGCGGTATTTTTACTTTCCTTTTTCTTCCTCTGTACTCGAGTTTAAATGCCTGTACGAGCGAGTATTAAGGAAATTCCGAGGGCAGGAATTTTCAGAAATTTTTGGTAATCTAGACAATTTGAACTGTAACAACCATCTGCCGTCATTGAAAATTTAATATAGCGAAATATAGCGAAAAACACGAATACCTCGGTTTCATCCACTTTACGATAAATACGATTGCGATATAAAGATTCACTTACATAGAACTACTGGATTTCTGATCATGAACTAATTAATTGTGCGCAAGAATACAAAGAGAAAAATATTCTAAAAAAAATATTCTCTAATAGAAAAAGGAAAAGGAACAGAGAATAAAAGAACGTTTGAAGAAGGACTTTAATAAAACGGAAGGAAAGATAACTAAAATTCGCGGAGCTAGCGAGGGATTCGCTTTCAAAGAAATGTCGAACCAGCCGGATTTTCATTCTCAAAGGGACCAACCAGTCGTCGGTGCAGCTTCAATAAAGCGTCCTTGTCGGTTATAGTTGCACGACGGTGTAGCGAAAAGGCCCGATTCCAGCCTCCAATTCGTGCCAGCCTGTATTCACTAAGAAAATTACCCCGAGGGCAATCGGAATCGGGCAAGAATTTAAAGAGCACGTCGCTCTTTTTACAAACCCTTTTGGCCTTTCGCCTTTTCCACGCTCACTTGTTGCTGTCGACGTCCGTTGTTTTTCGCGAATTAAAGCATCACGAGCGATTATCAGCGTAATTAATAGACCGAGTACATGTAAATTTAACAAACAAATAATTCCTACCGGAGAACGTAGCATCGCATCCGGAATTTTTTTCACAGCAAAAACTTTCCTTCGAGATTATGTGCCGTTATCTTTGATTATAAATAAGAGAAACTTTAAAATTATAAAGTTGCCCGAGAATTCAGAGGATTCTCAGTTAGAAACTTTAATCGAGAGAGATGTACTTTACAACTATAAATTTCTTAGTAATCAGAAATCTACCTTTATACATTTAATTAAGAAATAACATTTACACGACAATTACACAGCTAGTTATTCCAAGAAAAATACGTGGAACAATTTATATTCACGGCAGAAATTCCTGAATTTTATTTTGAACCATTGCTTTTACTACGTTCCTGTATAATTCCAACGCGATCGCATAATTTTTGTTATTTTCCAAAAATCAGAACGCTGTTTACAAATCAAATCCCTCTGCCTAGAGCCAAAAACTTTCCATCTAAATATAACTTTGATATTTTTTCAATTTATAACTTTAATTCTACGGTAAATTGTTGCCAACTCTAATTCAAAGTTTTCGCCGATTTTTCAAACGATTATCGATAAATTCATCCGCGAAACAAATATAGAAAAAACTGGTTAAACGAAAAATATAGGAAATTGTCTGGTAATCACAATTTACGCAGGGATAAATTGTTGATGCGGGCTGCCAATCGCTCGGAGCAAAATCGAAACTCGAATTAGGGTGAAAACAGGGTGGCACGTTTGAAGTCCTGATAACTGGAACCTGTCACCGTGCCAAAACGTGACGACGACATTTGAATTCGAAATCTCACCCCCTGAGCCAAACCCTCTCGCTTCGATCCTTAGAATCTCCTACCACTAATTGCCAGAATCTTTAGACCACGGAATAGTGCAACTCCCTGGTAAGCGTTCCAGATCCAATCTGGTTTGCTGTGCAGCCAAAGCGTGACAGCTCGTCTAATTCCTCGACTTCCGGCTAAATTTACCCGGAAACACAGCGTCTAGTGTACGAGCTGTTTCGTGTTTCCACAGTATCTCTAAATGTATTATTTATTTTTCCCTATATTTTGCTATTTTTAATTGGTTTCTCTCGTACGGAAATTTCGGTATCGTTCCTACACCAGTGAAATTGGACGTTGAATTAAGAAAATCGTATTTCTTCTACTGTCGCAAAATACAAACATTTCATTAGATGTCGTAATATTATGAGACACGAAAGTTCTATTAATTACGTCATATAACGTTACGAGATGTAAAAATTCGACTAATTATATGTCATTGTATTACGCTTGTATTATATTATAAAAGTTCGATCAATTTTATATTGTCACGGGCAAAAATTCTATTAATCGTACGAGACGATATTGTGAGACATAAAGAAATTCTATTAATTACACAACGCAATGTTGTGAGATAGAAAAGTTCTATTAATCACATGACCCGATATTATCAGACACACAAATTCTATTAATCACACGACATAATATTAGGAGACTCGAAAATTCAATTAACTATACACGAGCCGCTACTACAAGACACGAAACTATTCTATTTCAATCGTAGACTACAAAAGCTCTTCCAATTTTTTATAAAATCCAAAAATATCCCTCGTGTCGACGAATATTCACAAACATCGTAACGAAACATCAAAGACAATTTTCATACGCGGTCAGATCCTTTCTTTTCTCATTCACTTTGCATTAAAATATGCAACCGGCGGTACAAAAATAATAAATCTTCGAGTTGTTTCGTCGACGACGCTCCACCCGTGGAATTTCATTTCCTGAATCGTCGCAACGAGATATTTCGTTTTCCATTATTTATTACACACGCACAGAGTGCACGCGTGAATACAAACGCGCGAAGAAGAGAGAGAAAAAGAAGAGTACGATTCTTTCATCAGGCACCAAGATATCTCATTTCTCGCTTGCAAACGCGTTCGCTTTTTAACATTTCAAATCCGGCGAGAATTCTTCAGCCTCGATAGACCTTTACCAGGGGTACTTTAATCCCCGCAGCAGGGGTCGCAATCGGCCAAACTTTTAATAGTTTTTTCTTTTTTCACATCCTGTCCTCGACATTGTTGCAACGTCAGAATACCTTCAACGAGTTTAACCGAATTCTTTTTCTCATTAAAAATACAGGAAACTCGATTTTTCGAAGGCTGGCGAAGGATCCGTTTCAGTAGAATTGGAATTTTTGTTTTATTAAATTGATTATGCGGATTTAGCATGAAATTGTGTTAGATGCAAGTTCCGAGACCAAAGAATTATTATCGTGGAATTTCGTAAAAACGTGCCGGGTATATAATGTACGAGATACGTTATACATCAACAGTAGATAGTAAATTTAATGTTGCAAGATTCCTAACCTCGATATTGCTACTATTTTAGAAACTGCTAATACGAGCAGTTCAACAGCCGCGTTTCATCATCGACTCTATGAATCGAAACGTACAGAAAAGCGTTCCATGAAGCTCCTACGGTTACCAAATCATCTATGAGATCTGAAAATCTTTCGTACCTATAATACACGCAATAAATTCGTAAAAGTGTTGAAATACTCTCATGAACCAGTGTATACACGCATCCGGAGTATGCAACGCGCGTTATATCCTAACCATTCGATATTCCGTTGGGCGACAAGAGGAGGTGAGAGAGTATAGCGTGTATAGAGAACGGTCTACACAGGCTGGAGGCTCAACGCGGCACGTTAATGACAGGAAACCGGCAATATGAACTTGACGGCTCGGTACCGCATCGTGTACCACAGTAACGTACCGACAAACCGCAGGTGCCCCGACGACGTGGCTGCTTCGTTGCTATCCGTTACCCTCTCGCCCCTATGCCCCCAAACCCTCTCGCCCTCTCATTATCTGCCTGGGTTATGCACTTTGGTCCTGGCTCCGTTGCCTCTCTGGCTCGCAAGAACAGGGACGTTCTCGTTAAGGAAGGATTTTCACGCTGTAAAAAAGTTTCCGGATCGACCGACGGCCTCTGATCGTGCTGTCTTTTCTTTCACCTTGTTCCTCGTTCTCGCGTTTCTTTCTTTCTTGTATTTCGTTTTTCCTCTTGAATTTTGTCAGCGGTTACCATCGTTTCGTCTGAAATGTTTTCATCGATACGATTCCACCGACGACGTTTCCGTACCGGCACAGTGAAATCACCGGTAATCATTTCGACGACGATAATTGTCATACTTTGCACCGTACGTTATCGTTGATTACGCATCTTCATCTACGTGTTCGCTTTCGTCCATAAAAGAATAAAGAACGGTACAAGATAAAAGGAACAAAACAAAATATAGTAATTGGCGGCAAAAGACGGTGTCGGTGATTTCATTCGTTGTCGGAGGAACTCGGCGTCGGTCGGTGAAATCGTGTCGGCGAAAACATCGTCGATGAAATAAATGATCGTCGTTGATTCGAAGGTAACCCTTTTGCGAGATATAAAGCCAGCGAGAGTAAAGCTGTGTTGGAAGCTCGCCATTAATCCTACTGTCTTCTTTCGAATTTTTTTTTTTTCAACCAAGCGCAGTTTTCTCGCGTTAAAATATATATCAAGTACGAACAGAGTGCGAGAGAATTGTCGTTGGTTTCAGTTTTATGTTAAACATTTTCCTCGCGCTAGAACTACCGATCATCGCATAAAAGTTGTATCAACGAAATTAAAATGGCAAATTAGTTGATAATATCGATTGCGACTTACCAGTGGAAGGAATGGACTGTTGTTGATTGAAAGAATTTTAAGTGAATTCTTTGAGGAGCTTACCTGTAACAAAAAGGGATATATTTTTAAGATGTGCGCCACATTTCCTCAAATATATGTTAGAATAAGAAATTTTTCTTCAGATACATGAAAAGTTTAAAAAAAAATGAATATTTATTTTATTTTGAAACGCGATTGTTTCGATGCATAGTACATTAGTTTAAGAAAGTAGATTTATTAAAGGTAACGAATTCTATACAATTTCTGTGTTTATTTGTTATCATATTTTACAACCTTTAATGCCATATTCCAGCAGTGCACATGTATATGCTACGAGTTATTAATAATGCTTGGCTTTAAAATGTATGATATACGATATCTTGCTCTTGTTACTTCCATAGAATTTCTCATTCTGTTACAGTTTCACGGTTATTTTGTAAACTACAACTGTAATTATTCGATTAAATCGTATTTTAAATTAGATCAGAGTTATCGGATCGCTCGATTTAAGAATTCTCAATTTCACGTGATATTTACCGGTACGAAAAAAAGAATTTCTCGTCAGTCGTACCGTAATGGTTAATCCGTCTTGCGATATTTTATTCTTAAACATAGAATACTTATAGGAAGCACTGCATTTCAAAAATTCCACTCACATCTGGCCACAAAACCATTCCTAAGAATTCCCAATATCAAAGCCTTACACGCAAAATCCATTTTACGACCTCAACCCCTAAAAAATATGTTTCCTATCAATTCTGTCGATCTAAAAATCCTCCAACCCCAAAATTTTACACGGACCTAGTCTCACCCCAATCTCTCTCGATATAAATCGTCAATACCGAAACCCTACACTTAAAATCAATTCCTGTATGAAACAAAATGGTTAACAAAAATGGCCAGCGATTTAACAAATTTCCTTGATCGAAGGGTTTGCAGCAATAAATTTACTACAAATCGCATACAATCGATATTAAGAAGAATATTCGCGTCACGATTTTTAATGCGATTTTTAATGCGATTTTTAATGCGATTTTTAATGCGATTTTTAACGCGAATTTAAACAACGATCTGAAACGCAAGAACACCCTTAACTCGCTTACAAATAATTGTCCAAGGATCCGAACGCGAGATAAAAATCGCAGAAAGATTAGGAAACTACAAATCGGTAATGGAAATGGAAGATCGTTTCGTTTGAATCGTCCTGAAAGACGTGTAAGGAAACGGAGTCGCACGTAAGGGGTAGCAAGGTGGCTAACGATAATTCCTATCCGGCGTCACGTGCCGCCAATATAAATCACCCCTTGCTTCCTCGGTCCTCACTCCCCCACAATTACCTAATACGTCCGCCACGCTATCCCCAGACACCATCGGTGCAAACCACCCCCGTGTACTTCGCCAGCAGCCCCTGCGGCCACTAACTTACGTTCCAACGCCAATAATAGATCCGGACAGGCTCGAACCGCTTCTGACGAATTCCCCTAAATCACCGTATTTCTCATCGAACGACCTCCTCCCTTCTCTTAGTCGTCGACCAAAGGGGGTTGGTTACTGGATATTCGTCACGAAATCATTTCCTTGATGAGATATTAAACCGTACGTTCGAGGATATATGCGGATGGGGTGTGTAGAATTAGTTGTTGGCATGGATAGGGGAGACAACTATGGGATTAATCGGAGGACGTGTGTTTGGGGAGGGAGGGGTGGTTGTGAGATACGTTTCGCAGAAACAGAGGTGGAAAGTCGAGAATTCTTGAGAAGAGATTTAAGTTTCGCGATATAATTGCTTCGTTAACGACGATTGTTGTATGTTGCTAGGTGGTTGCGTGTAAGATTCGAAGCAGAAAAGGTAGAAAGTTGAAAATTCTTGGAAACAGATTTCGATTTGACACTGTAATCGAGCGTTTGATCAAGAACGAATTTTAATTTCGCATTTTTCTCTAGGAAATTATCGCGTATGGCGTTCGATTCGAAGAAAAGGGCTGAAAATTTGAGAGTCGATCTCGAGAATAGATCGATTTACATTTTTCTTCTACACTTTGCGATTGTTCTATCGAACAAAAATTCTAGTTTGGAAAGTACGTTTTAAGATGTTGTAGATCGTCGCCGATCGAATATTAAAAACACTACGATATTATTGAAGAAAATAGCTCGAGGAAATTAATTCACAAGAGAAACAGGTCCTGGAACAATTATCTTTGCATAGGAAATAATCTACACAGAATCTAAAGAAAACTAACCGCCCCTTCGGTGATAATTCCATCCCCATTAACACGCGATAATTTACAGAGCATATTTCCCGGTAGCGAGTATCTTTACACAACGTCAATTATCAGCGACGTTTCAACATGGCGGACGTTGAAATTCGTTACGGATAATAAGTTGCGTGGCATCATTTTCAAGCAGCTCTATCGCCAAGCCATCGTGGTACGACTATAAATTTCCGGGCAAACCCGAGAACCCATTCCCGTGCAATCCCATAGAAACTCGCTTAATCGTTATTAGTCTGCACCCCAGCGTCTTACGGAAACATAAATTCGGTCTTCATGCACGTGAACATCATAGACACTCCCATTTTATTGACACGAAATCTTTTTAGTCAACGCTTTCATACAATAATAAGTTGGAAGAAATTTTTAATTCGAAGAAACAACGTATCACGACGATATTTATTTTATCTTGCAATTCGTTTGAAAAGCCCTGTGAAGATCACGTCAAGTTATATTTTTAAACGAAAACTATATCTCTTCGTTTCATATTCTTGCAGCCGATATCAACAAATTGTCAAAGCACTTTTACGCGTATCTTTTGCATAAACCACTATCGACGTATTAATGTTTGGAAAGGATGGCAAGTTGAATCCTGTTCAATGGTGAACATCAAACGGAAGGACAAGCGACTAGCCGTTTTGGGAACAGTATTTAGTACACACAAATGTACACACACAATCGGCTGCTTTTAGAGGTACCATGATGCACAAAGTCTGACGTGTACATTGGATAACGCCAATGCCGGCGGCGTATCAAGTTTGACATTTAATATCTCGATAGTGGTATGCTCGATATGCAAAAAATACAAGTAAATAGCGTTTCGAAAATGTTTTGATGTCGGTTACAAGCAATGTGGGATACGAAAATATAGCTGTTACTTAAAAAGATAGCCACAAAAATAGCGAACACGGAAGAGTTTTTCCAAGCAATTGCAGAAGATAAAATAAACATCGACATGATATGCCTACCTCGAAATTGTACGTTTCTTTCAAACGCGTTTGTGCGTAGCGTAGTTTTCCAGCTATTTACGTGTTTTCAGAGAAAACGCACGTATTTTATATAACACAGGGTATTATGCAGTGACTCGGTTATACACCGTAGTAATCAAAATACACGAATAAAGATCACAAATGGGGAAAAATGTGATTCATTTTTGTCGATTAATTTTCGTCCATTAATTTTCATCGATTTCCTTACGTTGGGAAAATCGCCTGAAAATTTACGAACCTTCGAACCTTATCAACCATTAGGTTGTAGAGACCTTTTCTCACGATTTCCACGGTCACTTATCCCCACTGAAGGGAGCAACCCCTGGGCCAATACGAATAGACCGCGCACGTACAATGCACACACTCTCTTTTATCATTTACTTTGCCCGTAACAGATACTAGGGGCATTACTTTACCTACGATATACAAGGGAATGGTTGGAGTCGATGGCCTCTCGTCGTTACGTACACCTTGACATTTTTCAACTTCAGACAATTTTCCTGGCTAATTTCCGCAATTTGATAATTTATTTCGAAAACCTGTAGCGGATTTAATTAAAATCAAGTCCTTGTTCTATCGGCTTTTGTAATTAAATATATTTCAATTTATCTGGAAGTGTAATATTATTAACGATAAATTAAATATACGTTGTATATTAAATTACAATCATATCACGATAACAGATAGAGAAATAGATAATATCGAAATAGAATATTAATCAGTTAACTGCGTGTATACTCGTCGTGTAAAATAAAAAATTACCATTCACTGTAAAAACAGAAGATTTTAGTAAAAAGTAATATAAATGGCATTTACTGGTATGTCTCCTTTCTACTTCCAGTATATAGTAACGCTATTATATATTTTATAAAAAAAACGTTTGATCAATCGATTATACTCCCTCCTATAATGTATTGCTTTTTATAAATTCAGTTGATTATTTTCCTCGATCCATCCTCATTTGTGTACTTTACCGCGTATATCGGCTATTCTCCGAATTGTTTTGTGCACTTTATTTTATTATTTTTTCGCAATTTCTAAGTTTTCGATAGCAATACCTTTTTCAACGACGAATTGCTAATTTTTCACCGAATAAAAACGTAATCTTTCCTCGTTTTGCTTCACTTTTCTCGTTAAATTTATAGCACCAGCACTTGTCCTACGTTCGACGTGTATACTCGACATTGCTCGATTCCAATTACGCAACCCGTAAAGGATTTTTAAAACTAAATTTCGCGGTCAAACTGGTTAAGTGTAACCACTGGTACATCGATATTAGCAACGTTCAACAAATATTAGAATTATTTTAGTATCACTGAAGCAATATGGAATTCAAGGATAGCGAACGTTTGCGATGATGCAAACAGAAAACATTCGAGGAATTTTCAGAAATAGAGGCATAGATTCAATGACAACAAACTTAAAACGGAGATCCTTGAGAAACACCTAGGAGAAAACTACGTGACACCGATTTTTACTTAGAACGAAATTAACTTAGAACAATTAATTAATTAATTAATTAGAACAATTAATATAAGAGGTAGGATAGATTCTAAAAGAATTTTACAAATATACATTCGTCCGGGTTCTTCGTAATATTTCATACGGATTAAAATTACTTTCCTACGATTTAATTAAAATGCGAAGAATCTCGATGTTATTTTTACATATACTTGAGATGTCTTAACGTTATGTAAAAGTTCAATGAATCCACACGTTATTCGTTGGACGACTGAGTTGGGTAAAGTAAACAACCGTATAACGAATATAAATGAATTTTGTAGCTGTTTAAGATAAATACCAT